CAACCATATGAAACTGCGAGTTTCGCGAGGCAGGTGGTGCTGAAATGGGCGTCCGGCGCATGCAAACCCTGCCACTGGGGCCTTCGGTGGAGCTCCCTATGGGGCCACGAACCGTGTGCGGGGTGCGCCAAAATTGGCGTCGGTCGCATGCGGAACCTGCCTCTGGTGCCTTCGGTGGAGCTGCCTAGTCGTATGGGGCCGCGAACCATGTGAGAGGTGTGCCAAAATGGGCATCGGGCGCATGCGGACCCTGCCACCAGGGCCGTCTGTGGAGCTCCCTATGGGGCCACGAACCGTGTGAGGGGTGCGCCAAAATTGGCGTCGGCCGCATGCGGACCCTGCCACTGAGGCCTTCGGTGGAGCTCCCTATGAGGCCACGAACCGTGTGCGGGGTGTGCTAAAATGAGCGTCGGGCGCATGCCACCCCTGCCACTGGTGCCTTCGGTGGAGCTCCCTATGGGGCCACGAACCGTGTGAGGTGTGTGCTGAAGTGGGCGTCGGGCGCATGCAGACCCTGCCACTGGTGCATTCGGTGGAGCTCCCGGTTGGGCCCCGAACCGTGTGAAGGGTGTGCCGAAATGGGCGTCGGGCGCATGCCACCCATGACACTGGTGCCTTCGGTGGAGCTCCCTATGGGGCCACGAACCATGTGAGAGGTGTGCCAAAACGGGCATCGGTCGCATGCGGACACTGCCACTGGTGCTTTATGGGGCCACGAACTGGGCGAGGGGTGCGCCAAAATGGGCTGGCGCATGCGAACCCTGCCACTAGTGCCTTTGGAGGAGCTCGCGGCGATAACGGGCGTCATGGGGGGGTGGGGGGGCGGGAGGAGGATATAACATAACGACCCCGCCCGCCCTTTGGCTCTGGCACAACAGCCGCGCCCGCGCGCACGACGAAGATGCGCGACGAGCGACGAGCGATGACGACAATGACGACAATGACGACGACGACGATGACGACCACGACGACGACGACGACGACGACGACGACGACGACGACGAAGACGACCACGATCACGACCACGACGACGACGATGATGACGACGACGACGACGACGACGACAACGACGATAGGGGGCCACATGCGAACCCTACCCCTACCCCCCACGATTTCCGAGGGGGAGGGTGGGGTTCACTTCGCTCGGGAGCTCCCGAACGAAGTGACCCGAACCCTCCCTCTTGGAAATCGTGGGGGGCGGGGGTAGGGTTCGCACGTGGCCCCCTAGACGACGACGACGGCGACGAAGACAACGTCGACGGCGACGACGACGACGACGACGACGACGAGGGGGGGGAGGTAAAATGGCAGCGCTTCCGCGTGCATCACAGCGCCTGCGTGCACAGGTGGCATGATCCAAAAATGGCGATGCGGAGGAAGATGGAGAGGAGGAGAAAGGGGGAGGAGGAGCAGGACAAGGAGGAGGAGGAAGAGGAGGAGAGGGAGGAGGAGGAGAAGGAGGAGGAAGAGTTTTCACTGGGAACACAAGATCACAATTTCGGATCCTTATGCGGATCCCAGTGCGGGTCCCTATGCGAATCCCTATGCGGATCCCTCAGTGGATCCCTATGCGGATCCCTGCGCGGATCCCTGTGCGGATGCTTATGCGGATCCCAGTGCGGATCCCGATGCGGATGCCTATGCGGATACCCATGCACATTGCCATGCAATTCCCAATGCGGATCCCTATGCGGATCCTCACGCGGATCCCTCTGCGGATGCGCATGCGCATCCCTGTGCGGATCCCCATGAGATTCCCAATTCGGACCAGACTCCTATGCCGATTCTTATGCGGAACGGCGGCAATGCCCGGAACGCACTGGGGAAGGGGAGCGTTACGTCATGGGGGGATGGCGGGGGCTATAACGACCGTTATGCCCAAGCAATAAAAACGCTCCTATGTGGCCACGAACCGTGCGAAAAAGGTGCGCCAACATGGGCGCCGGGAGCATGCAGAACCTGCCACTAAGGCCTTTAGTGGAGTTCCCTATGGGGCGACGAACCGTGTGAGGGGCGTGCTCAAATGGACGCCGTGTGCATGCAAACCCTGCCGCTGGTACCTTCGGTGGAGCTCCCGGTGGGGCCACGAACCGTGTGAAGTGTGTGTGTGTGTGTGAAGTGTGAAGTGTGAAGTGTGAAGTGTGAAGTGTGAAGTGTGAAGTAAAAAGTGTGAAGTAAAAAGTGTGAAGTGTGTGTGTGTGTGTGTGAAGTGTGCGTGTGTGTGTGTGCGTGCGTGCGTGCGTGCGTGCGTGCGTGCGTGCGTGCGTGCGTGCGTGCGTGCGTGCGTGCGTGCGTGCGTGCGTGCGTGCGTGCGTGCGTGCGTGCGTGCGTGCGTGCGTGCGTGCGTGCGTGCGTGCGTGCGTGCGTGCGTGCGTGCGTGCGTGCGTGCGGTCGGTGCGTGCGGTGCGTGCGTGCGTGCGTGCGTGCGTGCGTGCGTGCGTGCGTGCGTGCG